CCTGACAGAGGACTCCTCCTCATCGGCTCTCCTGTTCTGCCTCTCATGCGACTGCGCTTGCTGCTTGCGCTCTGGGGGTGGTTGTTCATTTTGAGGCTGCTCGACCCTTGCCTGTTCGATCCTAGGCCGCTCGACCCTTGGTTGGTCGACTTGCGCTTGTTTGATTTGGTCCGCCACGGCCTCTGCAATCATTCTTTGTATCTCGCCCCTTGTCATGGTCAACGTTTGCTCCTCGACTTGAGGTGGCGGTCTCTTTTCCTGCTCGAGCGGTCCAGGCTGCTTTCCCAGACTTAGGGACGTCTCGGTTGACTCACGACCATTGATTTCTCCGCTCGTGTATTTCATGTGGCTGGTCTCCCCTTGAGTAAGCACAGGGATCTTGACTCCAGGTGGGGTAATAAGCATTTCTTCTCCCGCACGCCCTCCCGCCGGCGCGTGCATCCCGAACGGTGGAAACCCCAGCACCTGGAGCGGTGTTCTAGGCAGGGGATCGTCGGTGGTCGCTTATCTGTCCATTCTCCCCTGAAATCCTCGTTTAAGTTTCTCTGCAGTCCTTCCTTCTCGGCATCAGAAACAGATCGGAACTAGGTGAAAAGCTCTTACTTCCTTCAAGAACTCCCCACAGACGGCGCCAAAATGATGGATCTCCTCTCAGATCTGGAGTGAACCGACGAAAATTCGCTCAGATCCAGAATGAACCGATGAGAACGAGCTCAGATCTGTCTTGATGGCTTCCAAACCGCTGTTGAACCGCGAGAACACCTGCAAGAAGTCAACGCCGGAGGGGTTTCCGGCGTAGAGCCTCCGACGCTCAAGTCAGTATGTGAAAGAGATGAAGAGAGCTGCTCTGAGAGAGCAGCAGCAGTAATGGAGAAGAATGTAGAATGAATGGGAGTTAGGGTTTTGGAGTTACCTCAGCTCCTTTATATAGAAGTAAAATATTTACCTGAAGTCCCCAAAATGCCCTGGCCGACTTACTGGAAATGTCCAAAATACCCTGGTCAGTTCGCATTCCGTCCACCTCCTAGTCAGCATCTAGATTCTTCCTTATCTTTGACAGTTTCCTCCTTATCCTTAACAGCTTTCCTTCGATATATTGAAGCGTACTGGACTCGTCGAGATCTACGAGCTTCAAGACCTCCTCAGTCGACTTGGGATATTGACTTGAGTCGACTGGGTCATATTCAATCGTTAGTAGGTCCTGACACGTTTGACCGTCATCTCGGAGGAAATCGACTTATGCTAGCCGACATGTGGAAGTCGACTTAGACGAGTGCCGGGACCCTTGACCGGAGATATCATAAAGAACCTGCGGACAGAGTCGACTTTGCGTAAGTCGACTCGGTAATCTCTGAACCGTGATGACATGAACCGTTATGCGACAGTGTGGCTATATCAGCCACATAGCTCATCGATTTTGACTTAAGGCGTCATGAACATCCCCAAGACACACCAATGTGTCATTTTCCACAGGATTTCCATGAAATAATTCGAGGTTATATAAGGGTTTACTCAAGTCCAACTCCAATACACATAATAAGAGAGTATTATGCCATCATGTACCGTTCTCAAGGAAAAACACGCAAAGAGTTCGAAAGGAGGGTCGGACCGAGGCTGTACGCGTACATGATGGCTCGAGGGCAGGAGCTTGTGTCGTGGTGGCAGTCGCTCGTGAACGGAGGGGGCTAAACGACGTTGATGTTGGTCGTCCTTGGTGATACGCGCGAGCAACCGAAGGAAAAGGGTCGGAGAGGGTTGAACCAGGACTTGTACTCGATCACGCAGGGAGTTGTAACAACCCGCCTTTTCTAGCTTGACTTATAGAAATCAGAGAAAATTTATCTTTTTATTTTCGAAAGAGTGCGGCTTTGATTTCGAAAAATACTGAACTTACTTGCGGGATGTTACTAAAACTTTTCTTATCTTAACTCATTTAGAGCATCTCCAATGTTGTATGTAGTTGTGGTGAAAAATATGTCATGTCATCAATAATTAAATATTAGTTCACATTTTGTCTTCCAGTGGGAATATAAATGATAAATGTTGTGCTGAGGTGGTCACAAATAATTTCCACAATGTGATAGAGACTGTGAAATATCAACAGTCTTCTCCACAGGATGACTCAGCAAATGTGGGGGAAGAGGCGAACGGGAATTCTCAGAAGCGTGGAAAATCTGGCGGGGAAAATTGGCGGGCACCCAAATTTTACCAATCGTATCGATGAAAATATTGCAATCTGCTCTTCTAGTACAACAGACCAAGAATTCCTTTTCTGAAAAAATAGCAATTGTCCATTGAACAAAGAATTTACGGTACGTGAATTTTATTTGGGGCTTTTAGTTGACAATCAATTCTAGCTTGATCTCGTGATTACAATTCTGTTATGTTTAACATCTCTCCATGTACAGAAATTTATTGTGATTGTTATGGGTTAGCAGTTTTAGATAACACTTCCCAGTAGCAATTTCAATTCATGATTTCCATGTTTAAAAAAATAGCATCTTTAATCTTCTAGATACCAATTCTCATTGATGTGTTGTATGTTGTGTATGTAACTGAGGGGCCATGGTTAGCCGTGAGCCACTGGTGAACCACATATATATATATTATATATATGTAATAACTTGTTTGTTTTATACATTGAACCCCACAAGATGTTAGCTTAGTTGTGTATCAGTGTACGCCCACCAAGTGTTTCTTCAATTGACAGGCACGGCTTGGTGAGTTTTATGTGTCCAATAGTATTTGTCATCTCTCTTCATATCCATTAAGCCTAAAAATGATATCTACCTTTATGGGTTTGAGCTCTGAGGAACTATGCTTACCCTTAACAGTAGTTATACTACAACAAATCTCCATTTGGAATGAAACCATCAACATTTGTTTATGTAAAAACCACTCTGTCTTATTAGCAGTTAATACAGTATTTTAATTCCATTACATTTTCAATTTATGATTTTTTTTCAATGTTTGTATCAAGTGTCCTTCCTTGATTTTTTTTTTTTTTTAGGTAGTATCTTCA